ACTGAATGGCTCCCCTATAAGGGAGGAAATCACAGCATTAAAGAACTGCCTTGGTCTGGAACGAAGAAACAGAAATGGAATGGGAAACATGTTCGGGTTGAATACTGGAGTCGCCTCACAGGGAGTAGCGACTACGTCCAAGAGGGCGACGGACCCGGCTGGAGGCCTGCTATCAGGCGCCGCTTCCCTCACCTCTTTTTCAATGGCCCTTTCAATAGGTTCGGATATGATGCTGGCTTAGATAACGTCGTGAAACAAGATACCGACGGCCTCTGGAAGTTCTGCTTTCTAGCTGAATGGCCTGCCCAGGGTCAGTTGAATGTCTGGGGTATGAACCCTGATCATCAACCAGACCAAAGCTATATCTACGGAGATTCCGACGGGGACTCCATTCTAGACCGTCTACCACCCTCTTCGCTCAGTGTAACCACCATAAACATCACTCAGCACCCACCGAACCCGCATGTCGCTTGGAGGATTCAACTCGATGACTCAAATTTGCAGTTTAAACTTGTTCCTACAGGCTCCAAATACGTTCAAATGGCTCTCTTTTTCATTCTTTGGATTGTTCCTATCGTTACAGCCTCAGCCTGCGCTTATGTGTTCATGAAAACATTCTACCGAATCAAGTTCAACCAAATCGGCGTGAGTGAGAAAAAGACGCACATTTCAATGGATTTCATCAATCAATTCAAAATCGGCCACGCGGAAGATCGACAGTCCAAAAACCCCTTAGGACGCCGTACAAGCAGGTCGAAATTCCTGCAAAGCACTTCTACTTTTGGCAATCGAACTACCCGCCGGCGAAAGATCCTCATTGCAACTATGGAATATGAGATCGACGACTGGGCTATTAAGATAAAAATCGGTGGCTTAGGGGTTATGGCACAGTTGATGGGCAGGCAGCTCAGACATCAAGATCTTGTCTGGGTTGTTCCCTGTGTTGGCGGAGTGAAGTACCCCGCTGATAAACAAGCAGATTCAATGTTTGTCATGATCTTGGGGAATTCGTATGAGATCAAAATTCAGTACCATCAATTGAGGAACATCACATATGTTTTGCTGGATGCACCCGTTTTCCGCCAGCAAACCGCCACAGAGCCCTACCCTGCCCGTATGGACGACCTTTACAGTGCCATCTACTACTCCGCCTGGAACCAATGCATTGCCCAGGCATTGAAGCGCTTCCCTGTTGATATGTACCACGTCAATGACTATCACGGCTCGGTGGCTCCGTTATATCTTTTGCCTCAGACTATTCCTATCTGCTTATCACTCCACAACGCCGAATTTCAAGGGTTATGGCCAATGCGGACGCAGAAAGAGAAAACCGAAGTCTGTTCTGTTTTCAATCTTGATTTGGACGTTGTAGCACGCTATGTTCAGTTCGGCGAGATCTTCAATCTTCTTCATGCCGGTGCAAGCTATCTTCGCCTCCACCAACAAGGCTTCGGTGCTGTTGGTGTGTCAAAGAAGTATGGCAAGCGGTCATATGCTCGATATCCAATATTTTGGGGCTTAAGAAAAGTTGGACATTTACCGAATCCCGACCCCTCCGATACAGACGAGTGGAATAAATCCTTGCCTAAGGAGAGCGAAGTTTATATCGACAATGACTTCGAAATTCGCAGAGCAGGACTAAAGCTTCAAGCTCAAGAATGGGCTGGTCTTAGGCAAAGAGCCGACGCTGAGCTGTTAGTCTTTGTTGGAAGGTGGTCTATGCAAAAGGGTATCGACTTGATCGCGGATGTCTTACCTGGCGTATTGGAGAGTCGAGAAAATGTCCAGCTCATCTGTATTGGGCCCCTCATTGATCTATATGGCAAATTTGCCGCGTTGAAACTGGACCGAATGATGAAGCTTTACCCTGGCCGGGTGTGCTCTAAACCTCAGTTCACGGTCCTACCACACTTCATCTTCTCTGGCGCAGACTTTGCACTGATTCCGTCACGCGATGAACCCTTTGGTCTTGTTGCTGTCGAGTTTGGTCGGAAGGGTGCCCTTGGAATTGGGGCGAGAGTAGGGGGACTTGGACAGATGCCTGGCTGGTGGTATACGGTTGAGTCCACGACTACCTCCCACCTGTTAAAGCAGTTCAAATTGGCCATCAACAGTGCATTAAACTCCAATTACGAGGTGAGAGCAATGATGCGCGCAAGGTCTGCAAAGCAGCGATTCCCAGTAGCCCAGTGGGTCGAAGATCTTGAGATCTTACAGTCCACATCTATTCGAGTCCATCAAAAGGAACGAACCAAATCCCAGAGCCAGTCTGCCGCTGCTGGTGCATATAACGCTATCTATGGGATGATGACACCGCAGGCTGCATCAACAAGATCGGGTGTATCCACGCCCCCATTACAATCCTCAATTCCCCCGGGTACTACGGGATCACTACAGCGAAGTTCTAGAGTCTACAGTCATGACTCAAGCGCTGGATTTGAGGAGAGACATATGTCGGGACTCAGTCGCCAGATGTCTTTTACTCTCCGGCCGGTGTCTGGCACCGTAGAGTCTCGTAATCGATGTGAGCTCGGGAAAGGCAGTGATGACAGTGTCGATAGAGCCTCTCCAGAAGCCGAAGAAGATAGCAACGATGAAATAATGGCCACTTGTTACGGTGATGACGATTATTCTATATCACCTGAAAGGGCAGACTCAGGACGAGCACAAATTTCCCAACCCGTGGGTGTGGCCCTCACCAAAGAGGCTCTCTCAGCCCAGCGTGCGAGTCAGAACTCCTTGTTGGCTCGATGCACCAACACGCCCTGTAGTTCAGCGGCGCCGAGTACTGTCGGGACAGATGAAACTCTTGCTCCTCCTTCTCGCCCATGGGCAGAGCCAGCAAACCGTCTCAGTAATGTCTCAGTATTGTCTGTCGATTCTGTTGTTGGAGAGAAGAAAGACTTCAAACTTCAAAAGGTTGATCCATTCTTCACCGATAGCAATGGCGAGTACTACAGAGTGTTTGAGAAAAGACTCGAAGAACTCACTGGGACGAACTCGGACACCCAACTCTGCATTGAGCAATACCTCGAGAAAAGCGAAAAGAAATGGTTCAACAAATTTCGTGATGCACGCCTTGGCCTCAATCAAGAGTCCCCAGCTCACTCCGTGCATCGGGGCAAACCCGGAACATCGCCGGCTGGGTCAGTCACCAACGACGACACGACATCCCATGAAAGTGGTGAGCGTGAGAGAAAGGATGCCCAGCCGGATGAGTTCCTTCTTGGTGATGACTACATGCCACCAACCGGACTGAAAAAATGGATGCAACTGCGTATCGGAGATTGGCCGGTGTATTCTCTCTTCCTCGGACTGGGCCAAATCATTGCTGCCAATTCCTACCAGATTACACTACTCACCGGGGAGGCTGGTCAGACCGCTACGAAGCTGTACGGAATTGCGATGGTTTACCTTGTCACTTCTATTCTATGGTGGCTTTTCTTCCGATACTGCAAATCGGTGCTCGTTCTGAGTGTGCCATGGTTCCTATACGGAACGGCCTTTTTGATCATCGGAATGGCACACTTTGAGCCCAACTCATACAATCGCGGATGGATTCAAAACGTTGGCAGTAGTATGTATGCTGCTGCATCATCGAGCGGCTCTATCTTCTTCGCCCTCAATTTCGGCGATGAAAGTGGTGCACCGGTCAAGCAGTGGGTGTTCCGTGCTTGTATTATCCAGGGCACGCAGCAAGTCTATGTCATCGCTCTTTGGTACTGGGGTTCAACTTTGACTAAAGCTACCAACACGGGAATTATGGATGTGCAGGGCAGCATCACCAACACCTGGGGGATGACGTGCGTATAACATAGAAATCTTCATCTGAAAGATGGGAGACTCGCTAACCATTGTTATAGAGCGATATGTGCATCAATCACTCTCCTTTTGTGGGCAATTGGCTTCATCGTCTATTTTGGTTTGCCAAACTACTATCGCCAAACTCCTGGTAAAGTGCCTTCATTTTACAAATCCGTCTTCCGGCGCAAGATCGTAATTTGGAATTGGGTGGTTGTCATTATCCAAAACTTCTTTTTGAGTGCCCCATATGGTCGAAACTGGAATTGTAAGTCTCCATTTTCTAGACGGTTGCTGCTGTCTATTCTCCTTTCCTATGCCTTGGAGACTCCATTAATGGTTACCACAGTCCTCTGGATTACCCAGCACGCTAGTTCGTGGCAAATCCTACTTCTCTGCGTCGCATTCTTTGGCTTTGCCTGGATAGCAATCCTCTTCCTACTGGCTCGACTATCCAAATCCCATTCTTGGATCCTCCCAGTTCTCGCATGTGGTCTGGGAGCTCCACGTTGGGCTCAAATCTGGTGGGGCACATCTGGGTCAGCCTTGTTCCTCCCCTGGGCTGGAAGTTATACATCAGGTGCTCTTATATCCCGCAGTCTTTGGCTCTGGCTCGGGGTCTTGGATGCATTACAAGGTCTCGGGTTTGGTATGATTCTGCTGCAAACACTGACTCGTATGCATATCTGCTTCACTCTTCTGGCGTCACAGGTCCTGGGCTCTCTGGCGACTATTTGCGCAAGAGCCTTTGCACCAAACAACATTGGACCAGGGCCTATCTCGCCAGATATCACGGCTGGTGTGGGTGCGTTGGCTAACGCTTGGTTTTGGGTTGCTCTTTTATTACAGCTCTCGATCTGGTATGTGCTCCCCTATAAGCATATGGATCCAATCTAACATTTGAATTGAAGTGGTGGCTTTCTTCTTTTCTTCCGAAAGGAACAATTATCGAAACCTTGAACAAATGTGGACTTGTGTTGGAAGTGGGTGGGATGGATTGGTGATTCAAGCTGTGCAATTGTGGTCTTTTCGAAATTACTTGCGTATATTGGTGATACGATTACTTGTTTGTTGCCAAACAGAAACAGCCCTTAGTGTCTAATATAATGATATAATATCAGTTGACAAAATATCCCTTGCTTCGCGGCACCATTGACCATGGATAATCATCTCGAAAAAATTATTAGCTACTCATCATCATGGCGACCAAGATGGCATTTGATAGCCCGACGGACGAGGATGTCGCTCTCGAGAATATGGGGTACGAGCACGATTTCAAACAATCGTTCAGTTTGTTGGGTGGGTTTTAGTCTCGGTATTGTGACCTGGCAGAATTGTCCTCGAGCCGAGCATTCATCATTGGTATCCAAGCAGGTGGCCCACCTGTCATGATTCTTGGCTGGGCGGGAGTATGTTTTGTCACAATGCTTATTGCCCTGGCAATGGCTGGGGTGTGTTCGCGCTGGCCAGTGGCTGGAGGCCAATACTCATGGGTGGCCATGCTAGCACCGCCTCGCGTTTCCCAATAGCTATCATATATCGGTTCGTAGCCCTCGATGTTTGGTGGATACTTGCTATGAGTTTGCTGGGACTTGTCGCCGTGGGTGCTGTCAACAATTCCTTAGGATCGAATTATATCCTAGGCCAAGTCAGCCTAGTCTTCCCAGACTTCGTTATCGAACGGTGGCACGTGGTCCTAGTTGCCTGGGCCGTAGGGCTATTTTCCCTTGCTATCAATGTTAGTCGCACCGCACACTCTACATCGTTTGTCCCGCTTTATCTTTGCGTGGAACATCGTCTCGTTTATCCTCGTGATCACCACACTCTTAGGAACTGGACTACTCTTCCTCCTAACACTGTGCTTCTGTATAGGTGATATTGAATCAACAGCAAATTCAAGCACCGGGGTTCCCGTCTTTCAGAACTTCTATAACTCAACTAAAAGCAAACCTGCATCCTGGCGAGGATGATCACCATCATCATTGTGATGTCATCTATCGGTCTCGCCGCTGAAGTATCATGATCAGTATATGTCTTTGCGCGAGACCGTGGGCTTCCATTTTCGGACTTATGGTCTCAAGTCGAGCCGAAGAAAAAGATACGCCATTTCTTTCACTGTGGGAGTGCGGCTAGGCCTGAACGCAATCTCTTTCGGTACGGTGACGGGGTTTAAAACGGTGATTTCCAATAGCTACTACGGGGTTCTGTACGCGGACATATTCGACTCCAGGTTACCATGAGCCTTGAGCAGCTAATATCAACTTGATTTAGACGTTTCCTACAGTCTTGTGCTTTGTTTCCAGACCACTTGGTTGTTTCTTCCGTCACCAATCCCCCTCATTCCCCTCATTCGATGGACCATCTTCATTGCGTCTTCTTATATATATCTCCTATCGCAAAACTCTTACTAGGTAGAGTATACCTCCCTCTTAAGAGACCTAGATATAGAGGTAGATTCACTAATCACCCTATTTCTGCTATTCGCCTCTATTACATTCAAATTCCCCTCCAATTCTCCGGTCACCTCCGAATCAATGAATGATACTAATGGGGCTATCGTGATGATGACATTGCTCAGCCTTCTGACATGGTTTACTACCGCCACAAGTCGTTTTGTAGGGCCTTCGGATGTCAGATATTTGATCGTCGATGGGGTAGAAAGACCATCGACATTGCAGCCCGCGGATGATGTTGGGCTGAGAACAAACAAGGGAGAATAATGGTTGAGATGTTCCCCATGGAGAGACATGTATAGATTAATACACGTACCTGACTAACACAATAGAATATAGAGCGAGGAATACAAGAACTTGTTATATAGAACTACAAATATATATCCACGATCATAATTCATTCTCGTTGAAATTCGTAGGCTATCCAAATTATAAAACAGCCCATGATTAGCGCAAGGCAAAACAAAACACAAATAGTAACCGCAACAAGTAGGGGAATATGATTTTAAAATCCAAACGTGACAGGAAAGTGACTTAGTGGCAATGACCAACCCAAGCACTTGAAAAACACAAACAACATTTACCACTCAAGAGGCTCGTTCTTCACATCGCCACGGTTGGTCTTGGGAACGGGAGCAGCCTCGACCATAGTCGCACCACGGCGGTCACGGCGGAGGTAGCCACTGCCATCCAACCAGGGAGTCTCAAGGGTGCGCTTAGACTCGAAAGTGCGGATCTTGGACTCCATCTGGAGAGTAAGACCAATATCATCAAGACCGTTGACAAGGCAGTGCTTGCGGAATTCTTCGACTTCAAAGGAAGTGATCTTGTTACCCTCAGCATCCTTGATCTCCTGGTTGACAAGGTCAACCTCGACCTCACGGCCGGCGCGGGCCTCATCGGTGATCTTGCGCAGAGCAACCTCATCAGAAACGACGACGGGCAACATGCCGTTCTTGAAAGTGTTGTTGAAGAAGATGTCCGCAAAGGAAGGGGCGATGATGCACTTGATACCGAAGTCGAGCAGGGCCCAGGGGGCGTGCTCACGGGAGCTACCACATCCGAAGTTGGGGCCGGTAACAACCAGAATCTTGGAGTTGCGGTAAATGCCCTGGTTCAGGATGAAATCTGGGTTCTCCTTGTCGTCGGTGTAACGAAGCTCATAGAACAGCGCGGTACCGAGACCTGTGCGCTTGATGGTCTTGAGGAATTGCTTGGGGATGATGGCATCGGTGTCGACGTTGGCGCGATCCAAAGGCGCGGCGATACCCTTCAGGGTGGTGAAGGAGGGCAGACCGGTGCTCTTGCCACCACCGCTAGCAGGGACTGTAGAGTTGGCGTGGGGCTCGTTGTCGGCAGGGAAGTCGAGGACGCGGTCGAGTTCGTCCTCGGTCTCGGGGGACTCGAACTTGGGCTGCTGAACGTCGATCTTGGGGGAGGCCTTTCCAAGGACAGGGCTGGCTACGACATGTTCACGAACATCAGCCAGCTTGCCGACAATGGCAGCAGTAGCAGCCATAGCGGGGGACATGAGGTGAGTACGGCCCTGGGCACCCTGGCGACCCTCGAAGTTACGGTTGGAGGTACTGGCACAGCGCTCCTTGGGGGACAGGATATCTGGGTTCATACCCAGGCACATGGAGCAGCCAGCCTCGCGCCATTCGAAACCAGCATCAGTGAAGATCTTGTCGAGACCCTCAGACTCAGCCTGCTCCTTGACGAGACCAGATCCAGGGACGATCATAGCGCGCTTGATGTTGGATGCAATCTTACGGCCCTTGACCACCTTGGCTGCGGCACGCAGATCCTCGATACGGGCGTTTGTGCAAGATCCAATGAAGACCTTGTCAACCACAACATCCTTCATGGGCGTACCAGGGACAAGACCCATATACTCGAGAGCCCGCTTGCAGGAGGTCTTGCGGTTCTCATCCTCAAAGTCATCGGGGCCAGGGACAACACCAGTGATGGGGATCACATCCTGGGGGGAGGTACCCCATGAGATGGTGGGAATAATATCCTTGCCGTCAATGAAGACCTCGCTATCGTACTTAGCTCCAGCATCTGACTTCAGGCTGGACCAGTAGCTGGTAGCCTTGTTCCACTCTGCGCTACCGTACTTGGGGGCGAGAGGACGGCCCTTGAGGTATTCGAAGGTGATCTCGTCGGGTGCAATCATACCGGCACGCGCACCACCCTCAATGGACATGTTGCACATTGACATGCGGGCCTCCATGCTCAGTCCACGGATGACGGATCCGCAGAACTCAATAACAGCACCGTTACCACCAGCAGTGCCAATGACACCGATGATGTGGAGAACGACGTCCTTACTAGTAACTCCGGCGGGCAGCTCGCCATCGACCTGGATGCGCATGTTCTTGCTGCGACGGGTAATGAGGGTCTGGGTTGCGAGGACATGCTCGACTTCACTGGTTCCGATACCGAATGCGAGGGCACCGAAAGCACCGTGTGTGGAGGTGTGACTGTCACCGCAGACGACAGTCGTGCCAGGCAGAGTGAAACCCTGCTCCGGGCCGATAATGTGGACAATACCCTGGCGCTTGTCGCCCATACCGAAGTAGGTGAGGCCAAAGTCCTTTACGTTTTCCTCCAAGGTTGTGCATTGGAGACGCGAATCACTCTCCTTAATGAAGTCCGTGGCATTTTTGAAATTCTTTCGTGAAGTGGTGGGGATGTTCTATCCGAAGCAAACAGGTCAATTAGTCGTGAGCTACCAAGGGATATGGGATGTAACATACGTGATCAACTGTAGCCAGAGTGCAGTCCGGCCGGCGGACTGTGCGGCTGGCGTTTTTGAGGCCCTCAAAGGCCTGTGGGGATGTAACCTCGTGAACAAGGTGTCGGTCAATGTAGATCAAGCAAGTGCCATCTTCTTGTTCATTGACGATGTGATCTTGGAAGACCTTGTCGTACAAGGTCTTGGGTTTTGACTCGGCGGAAGGCATAGTGAGGGGACAAAAAGAAGCTGGGAAGAGAGGGTATGAGAGTAGAATATTGAGGATGATAGAAAGGAGGAATAGGTGAGAGCTCCGATGAAGAGTAATGTAGTAGTATGTACCGAGATCTGGGGGAACCGGACTGGCAATGCCTTGTTATATTTTTCTGCGCTGTAGCATCCGCGATGTCGCTGGGAAGCTTCTCGAGGGGCAGGGCCGATCTCGGCCGGTCAGCGGCGAATATCAAAAATTTTACTGGCCGAAGTGGTGACTCAGCGGATGACCGATATCGGTCTGCGCGAGACGATCCAAAAAAGGGAAGGCGGCTATTAGCGCTTTATGACGGAGCCCGCAGGAGTCCCGTAGACCGCTCCGGACCCATGTAATGGAAAGTCGCTGATTGGCTGTACCTTCCAAGGTTCCGCCTCCGATCGGCCAGCCATCTTTTTGACTCAACGCTTGGATGCTTAGCACTGTGGCAGCGAACATGGTGTGTACATAAAACCCTAAGTGGACATGATCATATGAGAACTTCATTATACTCACTATGCTATAGTCAGCCTTTGAAATTCATAATAGGTAAGACGCGCAGATATTCTCGTCAAAATTGTCAAATTTTGAACTTGTTCCATGGTCTAAAATCCAATCTACCATAATCATATACCAAAACGCCAATGCCCGCGTCTCTGAAGCAAAAGTTCATAAAGTGTAGGAAGAAAGCACGGAACCTCCGTGGACTACTGAGGCGAAGAGCTCAGATCGACCACGATCCTCTTTCCAGACACTGAACCACTCCGCAACGTCTCGAGTGCCGCATTAATACCCTCCAGCCCACCCTCTGCATGAACAATCTCTGGCAATGTAAGATTCGTCGATTGCAGAAGGTCTTCCAACCAGCATACCATAGCTTCACCCACTGCAGGAGCGGTATGGAAGAGCTTAATGGGCACAGTGTGATATTGTATCCCCGGGTTCTTCTCTTTAGGTAGCCCGGTTAAGCCAAGGAGATGGGCATGGCTATCGGGATTAAGAGCCTTTTCGAGTTGTGTTGCTGTCTCTCTTCCAACTATATCAATGGCATATCGCAGCTTGCCTCCGGTGACACCACGGATAATTTCCACTGCACGATCAGGGTCATGTCGATCGACTAGCACATCTGCACCGGACTGTACAAGCTTGGCACCATGTCGTGCTGCGTCGGCTACGCAAATCACGCGTAATCCGGCGAGTTTGGCAAGTTGAAGCGTTATCAGACCAGTAGTTGTTGAGGCTGCAGTATGAAGGTCAGAGGTCAGATCATATTAATGGACGCACTAGTTGTCTTACCTCCCCAGATAGCAACCCAGTCTCCACGTTGTGGCTTTTCTGAGTCCAATAACGACGCGAAGCATTCTTCATGTATATCGGCGGGTATATTATTTCTGTCGAGCTTTTTGATAATATTGGGCAAGTTAGGACCGGGAGCTTGTGTGATGAGGGAGAAGTCTAGTCCAAATGAGACGCCCAAAGCCAATGCAGCAGCGACAAATGCGACTCCGACAGAAGCTGAAGCGTGAATAGATGTTGAAGAAGGGATTCGGGCAGCATTGAAGTCGGTGGCAATGGCGTATTCTTGGAATGCTGCTTTCCTAATATCCCGGTAATCTGTTGACGGGACCAGCACAACGTCGCCTACACGAAGACGTGTTGACCCTTTGGGGACTTGTAGTACGAGGCCAGCCAGATCCCGTCCGTTGATCCATGGCAGACTGGGGATACCAAAGTTGAATGCCCTAATCGATTCATTAGTTAGTCATCGACTATTGTTTCAGGGTGCTTATTTTGAGCAAAATGGTAATACTTACGGTCCCTTCCAGTCGATAGGGTTGAGGCCGATTGCAAGGACCTGCGAATCAAACAGTCAACACTCGTGGTATACAAGATCCAGTCCGGCAGCCTGTCATACCTTGACAAGAATCTCCCCCTCATGCAAAACAGAAGGAATAGCATGGTCATCTACCAATGCGTACTGTTCACGAGCCCCCTTGAGAAGCAATACTCTTTGTTTTGACTCCTCGGACCGCGGCGATACGGGTTCACTCCCAGGTCTTGACTCATTGGAGTAATCTAAGAGAGGCTCCGAAAACAAGTTTTGGTGAAAGGTAGTCGGGGTCTTCTGCAACTCTTCGAGCTGGAGGCAAGTGGTGGTGGACATGGTGCTTGGGGGTAGTAATGGCATGACTTGAAGCTAGATCACAAACCGTCAATCTAACTATTAGGCTCTATCTATATTGCCCTTGGTATTATTTTATATCATTTCTCGGGCGAGAAGATAAAGCCAAAGCACGCCTCATTTTAGGGCGCGGGGCAGTGATACCAATCGCTCCCATAAGCACGTACATAGGGTTGGAGTACCTCCACTAGCACGATCAGTGGTATAATTCCGTGTCAGATTTGCGCAATAAGAGCGTTTCCGTACTTCCGAGGCCTATTCATAGTCGTTATCCATTGCTCATGGCGGGGCCCAAATGGCGTGATGAACTGGAAAACCGAGGGTCGATCAATGCTCTTATATATGGCTGAAGATGAGAGACTATGAGGACTAGGATAGTTCAAGAGGGCTGATAGAAATCTGATTAGCGATATATACGGAATGTTTTAATAGAGATCCAATATTTTCTACTCTCCTGAAATAAAAATCCGAAAATTTGAATCTCAAATCTCAAATTTCTAAGTTCATCTCCAAACTGATGTGATCCCGGGACGCGATGACGACTTGCAACTCCCAGCCCTAGCAGGATTTCAACACCTTAGACCTGAATCGCGAATATCTGGGGCCCCTAAGATCTGGAAGTAATAAAGTATGGAGTAATTTGGTTTTATCTGGATTATTAATCAATTTGGATTTTTTTAGTATAACAGTGGATGTGGAAGTATATGTGTGGTCCTCTTCAGGTCTGCGGTAGTACAACATAATAACATAGAATCTTTTTATGATCATTAGTACAATATGAACCCAGATATAACTTGCGTGTAAAGTGTACTCCGCGTCTTTATAATGTGTAGCATACATGTATATTGGAAAATGTCTGGCGAGGCCTTTCTCTTTCCGCTTTAGTGCTCGCCTCTTGCCGCTTTTTGATCACTGAGTAAAATTGAGCACGTCCCTGAGTTCCCTAGGATCAGTTTGTCAAAGCCATGAACGGGATGCAATAGAACTTTTGTACCTTTTGGAAGTATAAAATTGAATTTAGGCGGAAATCCGCAATTCCTTCCTACTTCAAGTTATGTCACACGATACATTACACATCGAATATGAGGGCCTATAACAATGACGCCGAAAGTGCTTTTGAGATGTTACAAACGGCCGCATTTCCACCCGTAAAAGTTAGATACAAGAGCTAAGCTTGAAAGTCTATTCTGACGGGAAGATCCCAGCTTTTGACAATGAACTGGTCGGCAAATGGGTTCAGTTAGAGCCGGAGTCTGAACGGTCAACGGTGGTGATCCTTACAGACTGATTGTGTGCCGAGATTCTTGTACATGTAGCTAGTGAAAGGGGGGCCGTTTCAGTTTGATGGCTGGTTAGCTGCATTCAGTAAAATCAAAAAGGGTAACAGAGGTTAGCAAAACGTACAACGCAAAACCAAATAGGGTACGAGCCATGGCGTTGGTAGCCGCTGCTGTGGCAGCAAACAGGCTATAGGTACCAATCAGGTAGTTTGTCATGGAGATGAAGACAAGAATATTGCCAAACCCAAAGAAAATAGTGCCAACAAGGCCCGCAGCCCAGCGAATGCTAGTGAATGATGTCCACGCGAACTAAAACAGGCTGGCAGGGAGCATCACAAAACCATACAAGCCCGGTTCGAGCCTCGTCCCTCCAAATCAACAAGCATGTCGAGCACAACAATCAGTATGTCCTTCCGCCCCCCAAGTTCGCTGATAAGGAAACAGTGGAGAGCCTGTCCGACCCTGAAACCCTCAAAAGGACCCTGGGCCAAGAGGAGTACTATCAGGACCTTATTGCCATCTACGAGCGTGAGTGAGATTGAGCGCCTCGGTGTAGACCAAACCCTGCAGGAGTACCTTCTTGGCGACAGCGAGTTCGCTCGCTCCAACTACCCGCACATGTACCAAGGCTATGTGCATGCTATTATGTACACGGGGTTAGGTCTGGAGTTCAACCAGTCGTCCATTCTCGTCGAGGTCTGGCTGAAACCGTTGTGCATTATGAGCCATGATACACCGAGTATCACGAGTTGTGCCGGACCGTGGCGGCGTCCGCCACCACCGCGGACCGCCTGTCGCTTCTCGGCGTCTAAAATGCCTGCACAAAGGACCCACTGATAATCAAATTGTATGGACTGGGACCTCGCTGTCCAGTTTAAGACCCCCGAGGCGACCTGGGAGGTCATCATGGCGGACAAGAATTTCCGCCCTCCTGTTGAGGGGCTGTGGAGACACCACGCCTGGAGCCGAGCCGGCAAGTATTTGGCCGCCATAACCGCTGCTAGATGGTTGATCCCGACGAGGACCTTGAGCGGGCCACCGCTGAGGTCATCAACACAAGCACCTATGTCACCTGCTCCGCGATGTTGCCGCCGCACGAGTTCCGCGTTGCCTTTTTCCTCGTGCGCGTTGCCAACGCCTCTCATTCGCTATAGGCCTACCTGCAGAGGGACTCCATCTCGCGTGCGTAAAAGGCCCGCATGATTGAGGACACGGGCCGTTTGCTTACCTTGATAGGGGCCGGCGTCGGCATGCCGTCGCTACACTGAGAAGTGCATGAACATCATATCATGAAGACCAACGGCGGTAGAGGTACAGACTGGGATGTCCTGTTCTCTGCAATCATGCCGAGGACGGGCACATGATCAAGTTTATCTCAAGAGCCAGTGTAAATTATTGTGGTATTACTACACCTCTTTTTGCTAATAATTCATAATTCGCCCGGGTGGTCTAGTGGTATGATTCGCGCTTAGGGTTCACCCAAAGCAATATTGCGCGAGGTCCCCGGTTCAATCCCGGGCTCGGGCCCATTCTTTTTCTTTTTGTCCTTGTTACTCCCTCCGTCCTCTTAATAATAGTATATATATAACGATCAATTCCACCACGATCACCATTTAATTTTACCTCGTAACCAATCATTAACTAGTTATGTGTCGGTAGTCAAAACACTGTCGGTAGTCTTTCTCTAAAAGCGGCGGCAGATAGGAAATCCCCACCCAGCTTGAATCCGATGCATACAGAGTACAACTCTTTATAATGCAGGTCCTCGAAAACCCTTTGATAATCATTCTCATTGGCCTCTTCTCCACTTTATCTCAGCATTTTAACCGTTTTCCAAATCGGGGTATTTGCTTGCAGGGATTGTGCCGCCTGCAAGCTCCTTCCGAGCACGTAATTTCACCCCAGAACGACAACATCAATTAGGGTGATTAGCATCGCGCGGGGACAACTTTTGATATGGAGTATACATCTCGTGCGGGCGGTACGGTTATAAACTACTCAACACCTGTCAAAATAACCTATATCTCCATGTTCCCATGCATGTAGATCCTCGAAAACACTATCCTCGTTGGTAAGCCTCTTCCTCACTATATGTATCTAAGCATTCTAGCCGTTGTCCAATTTGGGGTATTTGCGTGTAGGAGTTGTGCCGCCTCCTGCTAGCTCCGTGCGAGCACGTAATTCCACCCCAGAACGACAACATTAATTGGAGATGTCAAGACTAGATCTCTTTGAAGCTAGACAGTGGGGTCAGAAATACCAAGACAGAACAATAACTCCTTGCCAATATCAGCATCACGCGGGACAGATTGTTCGAGGCAGTACAGCCGACAACTTTTGATATACAACATAAAGTTAGATCTCGCGTGGGTGCTACGGTTATAAACCACCGCAACGCCTGTCAAAATAATTTGACTATTCAACTATCCCTTTCACTTTATTATGACGTACTCCGAAAAAGACGTTGCGCCGAGTGATGAGGTGAACAGTGCAGGGTCTTTCAACTCGCCGGTTGGTGGGCCACATAAAGGTGAGCTTGGAATATTTCTTGTTCTTGTTTAAAGTTGATGAAACTGACTATAGCCCCGAAAGTCAAATGGTACCGTTCGACGTTCTACAATGCCTTCATCCTCGGTCTTTGCAACTTCCTCGCCCCCGGAATTTGGGGCGCCATGAACTCTTTGGGTGGAGGAGGCGAAGAGGAACCCTATCTCGTCAACGCAGCGAACGCCTTGACCTTCGGGCTTATGGTAGTTTCTTGCTTCTTTGGTAGTGTCATCGTGCGATTTATCGGCATCAAATGGACACTTATAGTGGGAACAATGGGATTCGCACCATACGCAGCAGGGCTGTACACAAACAACCGATTTGGTCAAGAATGGCTGGTCATCCTGGGCGCGGCACTTTGTGGCGTCTCAGCAGGCATCTTTTGGATGGCAGAGGCAGCAATTGCGCTTTCATATCCTGAGCCATACAATCAGGGACGCTTCTTGGGATTCTGGCTCAGCTTTCGTGTTGGTGGTCAAATTCTCGGCGGTGCGATCAGTCTGGGTATCAATGCCCATCGATCGAGCTCGGGCTCTATCTCATACACTGTGTACCTGATCTTCATTGCGCTGCAGGCTCTTGGTCCTTTTGCTGGTCTGCTTTTGAGCAATCCGTCTCAAGTACAGCGAAAGGATGGGGTCCCTGTTCAACTTCAGGTGACTAATAGCGTCGGATACGAGCTAAAGAGCATGTCGAAGCTTTGGATCAGTCGCAAGTTTTTGTTCATCATTCCATTCATCTGCCAGGCAGTTTATGCAGAGGCTGTGATGTTCTCGTATGAGGGATTGTGGTTCTCAGTACGGGCCAGAGCTCTCGGGTCATTCCTTTCCGGTGTGATTGCTTTGATCATCGGCAACCTTCTAGGAGCCTTCCTCGACACCAAGCGGATATCTCTGAAAAAGAGAAGTCGATACGCATTTTTCCTCGTCGTCGGATGGCAAGGCATGTGCTGGATCTGGGCTTCAGTGCTGACAACAGAATTCAACAAGACACAGCCGATATATGACTGGACTGACCCAGGGTTTGGAAGAGCTTTTGCCCTCTTCCTCTTCTGGGTTGCTGGCTTCCAGCTCAATTATATGTATCTGTAAGTTGAATCTCGATGGATGACGGTTTTGGAATTATGCTGATTTTGATTAGGTTTTTCTTGGTGGGCAACCTTGCGGATGATCAAGAAGAGGTCGTCCGAATTGCGGGCTTGTTGCGTGGAACTGAGTCCGCCGCTCAGTGTGTCAGCGTATGTACAACTCTTGTCTCACTTCTGTGCAGCATGAATACTGACGAGATGTCTCCAGTATGGTCTAAGTAGCGTGAACATCATGGCCGCAGTGGGTAGTATATACCTCAACTTTGGCTTGTGGGCTATCGCGGTCTTTCCTGCCTGGCTCATTGTCAAGCAGGTTGGAGAAGCCTTCGGGGATAAAAAGATCGCGAGAGAGACTCCCGGTTTGCGCGAGACCTCAGATCATGAGTGATTGGCTGGAATACAGCTTCAACTACTGGCGCAAGTCTACGAAAAGGTTGTTGCGGCACAAGGATATTTAATTTAGAGGTTTTAGAGTGCATCCCCATGTCTGTGTTGTAAATATATACATTGAAAAGATGATTATCCTATGATAAGCCTGTTCCCCGGATTCTTGCAGCCCAAGACAATTTTAAAGCTATGCGACGAAGCCGAATTCTCGGTTATCATGGTGGAACACGAGCAATGCGAGGCGATGTCGTACAAATAGACCGAGCATTCCACAGACAGTTTGCACCGCAACCATGTGCCACGCCAGTTGGTCTTCTCGCATTGGACCCATCCACACCAGCCAGAGATTCAAGATAGTAAGATTGCTCGATTCGGTAATTCGACCATTCTTGTCTTTGGTGATTCGCATCAGTCTCAAGGTGTGTAATAAGCGCAGTGCGGTATCGATTAGAGGCGACGGGGGGTTCGTCCACTCCGTGACAGAAGCATCCAGCAACCCAGTGGAAGGGCTGAATTTTGGCAATCGATGTCGAGGACAAGGAATGAGCTTGAACAGTTGGGGGGTTGAGTACAGAAAATTGAAGATCTGCGGAATGAACAGTAGCAGCAGGGTTTTGCTAAAATGCCCTAGGATACCAACCACGGCAAACACCATTCCTGCAAAATAGCAGTATGTATCGCCCACGAACACCTTAGACGGATACCAATTATGGAACAGAAGGGCTGATGATACACCAATGAATGGAAGCAGGAAGTAGATCGATAACAAGTGCGAGTCGGTGGCAGGGTGCGGGTATGGTGTCATAGGTGCAAGGTACAACGCATCATTGAATAGCAATTGGATCGCAATCACCAGTGACTGAGCGACCTCGATACCGTTGATGCCTGCCAACATGTTGATAGCATTTGGACAGAAGATTGCCACCGCTGCCATATACATGTAGTACAGCCATCCAAGATCGACAACGTCACCCAAGTAGGGTTGCAACGGGACCGGTACGACGACTTGCGTAACGCCAAAGTCCACAAAGTACACAATGAGCATGGGAATTGCGGAAAAAGCAGGAATTAGGACTTTGTGTCTCCAACGAATATCGAACAAGTCATCGCCGATCCCGAGAATCACGACGGATTGCAAAGACAAAAGACCAGAAAGGTAAGAGGCAAGCTATTCCGATGCACGTTAGCTCGAGGTCTGCCCAGTGAATATAAAATCAAAGCTCACCTTGCCATGCGGAAATCGATGAAGGAATCGGCCATTTTCAATATGTTGCGATTCAATAACAACGTCACGGTTTCCGCCGCCCGATGTGGCTGCAACGATATCCTTGTAGAAGGCAAATGGAATGAACATTATGAGCGACATCAGATACACCACTGCGCATACTGCGCCCATGGTTTCAGGTCTAGATAAAAATATTAGTACATGCTATGATCCGAAGTTCAAGAGCCATATACATACATTTCGGGCCGACTAGGCTTCGCCATGTCTTTGCCCTTGAGTCCTGCCTTCAGAAACACAGGCCCGAGCCACCTGATCAGGCTAAAAGCCACCGCAAACACTATGCCACATATCGCAATTGAAGCAATTAAAGGTGCCCCATCGCCTTGGAACGTGGTGTTGAGTATCGCTAAACCGGCCCCCACGAGGGCTAGTAGACGCCAAGTCTCCTTACGGGAGAGGGTGGATGGGGTGTACATGGCGGACATACAGCCGAGATGGCAGGAACAAGGTCCCTCTACTGCAAAGAGAAATTCACAAGGAATTGACCTATGCAACGAGAGGAAATGTCCACCTCAGCGACGCGCAATCTGTCTTCATTCTTGAGATACTCGATAAGCTTATCGTGTTCTGCCAGACTTACCTGACCGCTACATTTGGCGGTGAGAGAGTAACCCGTGATGCTTGCGACCAAGAAAGGTAAAAGGCGACGTCAACCACCTATTTCATACCTCATGCGTGCAGATGCATAAAATTCAAAGCGTCATTGGCCCAGCTATCTAATTCGCCAATCTCATAGCCCAGTCCGTTTCGATGGGGGCAGTGGAGCGCCCCGAGATAACGGCCGGATTTGCCGACTTCGACGCCGGCCATCGGGATCTTGTCACCGTCACCAGATTTAACTTCTATGGCAATCGTATTGTCACCGCTTCTTCTGATCACCGCATGAAAGTTTGGGATCTCAAGGATGGCCAGTGGCAACTGATAGACACCTGGCGCGCGCACGACGCTGAGATTCGCGATGTATGTACCAAAACAAGCTAGGGCGCAATTCCGCCATTGCGGCTCATGTACTAAACTACAATTTTAGGCCACATGGAATGGTCCTTTCACAGGCCAGCACATTGGCAGTGTTGGAGAGGATATGAAGTTGAAAATTTGGCAAGAAGATGTAACTCAGCCACCAAACTCAGGACGGCGTTTCAGGTCGATCTTTCGCATGACCGCACCACAAAGACATCCATTTGTATCACTCGACTTTCGCAACATTGACCTGGAATCGTGGCTTGCTGTGATAACACGCGATGGCTATCTCATGATCATGGAACCCGTCAGCCCTGATAGCCTTGCAGATTGGCAGACTGTTGACCAGTTCCGAGTGTGTACCGCCCCCGAACGCGGGGAGGAAACAAGTTTCAAAGTCCAGTTTCATCATGACCCTACCGACATTACTCACACTATCTTACCGAATTCCGATCGCAAGAGCCTGTCGCTAATTGTGGCTGCCATGGACACCGTCAAGGTCTATCGCACTGACGCAAATCGACGATTCTACCATGCAATTGAACTGAATGGGCACAGCGGACTTGTGAGAGACATTTCCTGGGCTAATGGCTCTGTGCGTGGCTACGATCTTATTGCGAGCGGCGGCAAGGATGGTTTTATTCGCATCTTTGAAGTGTACACAATGCCAGCTAGCCAGGCACTACAGACTAACGGCCGAAAGACGGAACGCCGCATGCACTCACAATCTCAGTCCCAGTCACAGTCACAGTCGCAGTCACCGTCGCTCCGAGCGACATCGCAGTCCGGGATCGGCTCTGCTCTAGCAAGCCGTGTGCCTGCATCGGTGACTGATCGCCAACCCAATGGGGATTCACAATTCCGACACTTGTTCAAACAGGTGGCTTGCATCGACACTAAACACCTCGATGTCTGGCAGGTTCAATTCTCGTTCTCTGGTGAGTATTCCTTGGCTCTTTCTACAACCCTACCTTCTTTTCGCTAATGCACTGCTAGGTGACTCATTGATTTCCTCCGGAGACGATGGGGCAGTTCGGTTCTGGAAAAGATCTTTGTCTGGAGAATGGCTCGAGTTCGCCGAAACAGATATGGCTTCTCAGTGATCTTCTCCCCAGCACTGGAAGACATTATTGGAAATTCATGAGAAATGCCCAATACTTGGCTCTTTCCGCCCTTTTCCCCTTCACAATCAATGATACCCTTTACATTTGATTTATGCATACTCCTGTCAAATCTGGTAGTATTTCTGACTATAATTAATTGAATTCAAGATTGATGGTTTGTCTCGAACTGTCTCCATTACATGAGGAAAGGGCGATGGATGGAGATACCGTAGTTGGTCACTTGATTTCTCGAGCCAAAACCACTCTCGACCTTCCACCCTCATCACCTGTAACCCCTCATTATTGTTAGTTCACCATGGCTATCGGTCCGACCATTGGCACCGGCTTGTTCATTGGCGCCGGCCAGGCCCTCGCGGTCGGCGGACCTGCCTCGCTGGTCCTGTCGTATATAGTCTTATCCTTTCTGACCATTGCCATGACCACGAGCGTGGCCGAAGTATCCACTCACATGCCATCACAACATGGGACACTCGTCACCAACGGCTACCTGTACATGTCAAGCAGTCTGGCATTTGCTTCAGCATACCTCCGATGGTACACTCTTGCCTTGTTCGTGCCATACGAAACCACATCGGCGATGGTCAACCTTGGCCTGTGGAAACCGGGTTCCGCGGTCGCAGTCAGATTGGCTGTCATCACGATCATCGTTGTTGGGTGCAACTTCTTGCCGGAAAGACTCTTCAAAAGCTCCGAGCGATTGTTCACTGCAATCAAGATTGGCACAATGGCGACCCTCTTCGTCCTCTCCTTAGCTTTGGGTCTTGGAGGTGTGGATACGCAGCCACCATGGGGATTCAAATACTGGAAACATCCAGGCGCCATGAACGAGTATCTAGCTCGAGGTCTATGGGGACGAGTCTTGGCTTTCTTCCAATGCCTACTCGATGGCTCCATTGCTTTCACATTTGCCCCTGAGCTGATTGTGCACCGAGCTGAATTGCCAGCGTCACTTGGCGAAACAGCCATGATAAGCGCCGGTATCCCAGGTATAGTCACATCCGATGTTGCTCAAACTGCATTTCCGTATATCCTGAGCTCCTTGGCCATGGGTGTCATGGCTCCTTTCAATGATACACGTCTGACAAACAACGGAACGGGCTCCGGATTTTCTCCTTACCTGATCGGTCTCAAAGATGCAAACATTCAAATTGTACCAATGATTGCGACGATCGCAATCCTGCTCTCTGCGGTGGCTTCTGGGCGATCCTTTTTGTATCTCTCATCTCGCACACTTTGTGCAATGTCGGAGCTCGGCCATGCGCCCTCGGTATTTTCCATCCGCAATCATTGGAATGTTCCATATTTGGCCGTTGTGGCATCTGCCTTGTTCTCCTCCCTTGCCTTTGTTTCAGCGAAAGTGTCGAGTACAATCATGAATACCTATCTCCTTCGTCTCGTCACGAGCGCCAGTTTCATTTCCTCGCTTGTGTCATGCATCATTTATCGTCAATTCGATCGACGGCTCATCATGAACGGAATTGCCAGGCGGAATCGTTTCTCTTTGCAGCCGTTTGGCACATATTTCGGGATGGTCATCAATACCATACTGCTGCTGGGCGGCGGGTTGTGGGCAGGACCCAAGGGAAATCTGATTGGGTCCCGAGGCGCCAGGCTGATCATTTCATACATCAATATCGGTATATTCATCCTGCTGTTTTTAGTCCATCGATTCCATGACTTTGTGCCCGTTGTCGAAGTTGAAAGACAAGTCGATATTGCTGGAAGCAGGCATGGCGACCACGAAGGACTAAAAGACACTCGGACACAGAAGACATCCCCGCCTCGGGCGAAACTCGACACAGTCCCAGAGGGTTCCGGGGCATTGAGTTGCGACTCAGCCAGACCTTGTTCACCGAGCCTTGAGTGTACCTGATAATACGATGGAGATTGATGCGAGGATACAGATAGATCGTATAGAACTGGAATCGGCACGCCTGCAAGTCATGTCTGTTATTATTAATTAGTTATCGTTCGTTTCAAGTCCAAGGAGTCATTCTGTTTCTTGTTTAATATTATTTTCACATAAAAGATGCGTAAGGTATTAAGGCCAGGAGCTACTATATATAGTCCCGAAGAGAAAAAGAGACAACATACATATTAACGGCGTACCAAATAGAATACAATACCGAAACCGGACAATATCAAACGTTTTTTTTTTTTTTTCCTTCGTAGTGGCAAATGGCGCCAAATCACAAGTCATATCGGAATCCTACAAGCCCCCCTTTTACCATTTCGGAACCCTCGCCCTTCTTTTTCCTTCCCCCGTTTTCATGTTTTTATAGATCCTTGTCGTACAAGACAAGAGCAGATGACCAGAGCCCCTCTTTGAACTTCCATCTCCTCCGATCTCTTCCAAGCATTTTTCACCCGTTTTCCCCCATACTTTTTACTATGCTTCTTCATACTTCGCTTATACTCCCTCATACTGCCTGGATACTTCGTCGGCTAACATCAACCCCCCCCTCAGGCTCTAATACTCCCCGTAGGTAGCCCATATCGCGTGTTCCTTTCTCACGGATTTCTTTCCCGAGCCGAGTCCGTAGGAATTCCTTTGTTCTTCCAGAAAAATCCCCGTTTCCTGATAGGTTTAAAAGGACGAGGGGATCGCAAATCTAGGGGGTTTCCAGCGCATTCAAGACCCATGCCATTATTTTAGGGCTCTTGCTCACTTTGATAGCGATATCTCGCTTTACTGCATGAACAGGCCTGGCTTTCATTATAGCCCAGTGAAAGGGCCAATATGACCCTCGATTCATTTTGAACTGAGGGTATAGCTATCGTTCATATTTTTCATACCAGTTCCCTACTCATCCATCTAGATGCTAACCAGCCCATTGATGGGATGCCTAGGGCATCCAATGACATTCCCGTGACTTTCCCCACTGCATTGAATGACACTAGTCCTTATTAGGACTAGTATATTCCAAGGCTGAGAACAGGCAGTTTTTGCATACAAAAATTACCATACGGGTAATCTTGGAACTCAAAGTTTGACAGGAATTCTGCTCAGAGTGGTCTCTATTCATAATGAAAGAGAGTTGGAAGAACAAGAGCCCTTGGTTACGGGATTTTTCAATGTTCCTCGAAGCCCTTTCCCAAGTCCCAAACCGCGCTAATCCCCTTTCACCTTCCACACACTTGGTCTCTCTGCCTACCCGGACGGCCCATTCTCTGCCTTAGGCCCCCGTAGCCTCCTCCTTCCTCTTGTCTCCAGTTCCTCAAACTCACTCTCTTTTTCCTCTCCTTTCCCCTACCCTCTCTTTTTTCGCGCTTTTCTTCCTTTCTTCCTTCCTTTCTCTCCTTTAACATTTGCGCCAACCTCTTTTAATCTCTTCCGATCATCGATTCTCCGACTTCACACCCCCCTTTCGCTTCCTTCTCGTGACCGCACCGTCTTCAACTTTCCAACGCGTCCACTGTCCAACGAGACGGGATTGGAAGGCCTACACGACCACGAGAAAAATTGATATGCGACTTGAATAGTGACAGCTTGGCTACGCCTCTGTCAAGAAAACATCATTTTGTCTTCGCCTGAGAGGGGGTTATCTGTCGGCGATGACAGATACCTCCTCCCTCGCCATCACGCACGCCACAACGGATTCCTATCCGGTCCACGCCCATCGCGGCTCCCATGCCGCCGTCGACGGCGCCGCCTCTGACTCCGGCGCACCCGATGAAGAACCTTACACCATCAAATGCATTTGCTCGTTCGATGAAGACGATGGCAACACGGTCTTCTGCGAAGGGTGCGAGACATGGCAGCACATCCTCTGCTACTATCCGGATAAGAAAGTACCAGATGTGCACAACTGTGTCGACTGCGAGCCACGGCCCCTTGATAACCGTCGTGCCAACGAACGACAGCGGCTGCGGCGGATCCGAGAGAAAAGCGAGGACGGTGACCGGAAGACAAGGAGATCTGGCCCCAAAACACAAAAGAGAAAGTCCAATGATGCCGATATGAACGCCTTTGGTCATAGACGACATGATTCGGGTTCCCGTGACCAGCCACCGTCCAAAAAAGCAAAGGTGTCTCGCCGTTCATCAGTTTCGACAGGTGGTGTTTCGGCCCCCCGGGTCTGTCGATCGAATCGCGCAACCGTCGATCCTCCACATCGGTTGCGATGAGCCCAACAGGCATCCCTGACCCCCCTATCCCCCACTACTCGGACGAATTTCTCTCTCTTTACGACCGCGATGATTTATTTGTTGAATCGAAGAGTATTCTCAACTACGGCGTGGATTTTGTTAATGAAATTGTTGCGTGGCTGAAGGACCCACAGATCCTGGCGCGAGTTGCTGATGGACTCAGTGTGGAAGACTTCGCCAAACGGTCTGAAGAGGCCATGGATCGGTCTCGCTGGCCCTCATTGACAACGGAAACCATCACAGACTCGACAATTGAAATCGGTGGTAAACACCCAGTTCACAAGATCTTGAAAACCCAGGACCCAGTCCAAAAGGATGACATTGTCGGTGAAATCTTTGGCAAATTAGGCCACGTCAAAGACTACAAAAAGCTCGACAGCAACCGGTGGGAGGAATTGGGGCACGCCATGCCTTTCGTTTTCTTCAACCGGCAGCTGGACTTGTACATCGACAGTCGTCAGGAAGGAAACGAGCTCCGCCATGTCAGGCGGTCATGCGACGCCAACGTTTGGTTGAAAATTTACATCACCAATGGCCGACAGTACCGTTTTTGTTTCGTCGCTAAAAGAGACATTCCTCCGGGCTCGGAAATTACTACCATGTGGCATTTCGACGAATCTTTCTTTCCTTGCGACGCCACAGTTAAAGAGGAATTCAAGGACAGGGTGGTAGATCCGAAGGACGCTGCTATTTGCATTAGTGCCACACTGGCTAACTTCGGCGGCTGTGCTTGTGGAAATCCTCAAACTTGCGTACTGAACAAGCTTGATCGTCGCTCCAAGCCTCCTGGAAACAAACGCGTCAAGGCGAGGCTGAAGGGCAAGGGCAAGAAGTCAAAATCACTCGGTCTTACTGATATCGGTCGCGCCGGCAGCGAGATCAAGCATCCTGACGAACATGACATCGCAGCCGATGCCCGATCAACTTCTGGTTCCGCGCGTGGTCGACACACTGGCAGTCGTGATCTCAGCCCCACGGCTCAGCTATCACTGCCAGAGCTCTCCAGCCGCGAAAGACGCAAAATAGCTGATGCCGAAAAGCAGTTCCAACAGCTAGAGCAGCTTAGAACTGTCAATCCCAAAAGGAAAAAGCGTTCTATAGGCCCTCAGGCACAATCTATCCCTAAAGCAGTCTCGAGCTCAACCCAAACTGGTGACGACTTCAAACCTTACCACGAGCCGGGCCAGTCTCGATCCTCTGAATTGACAGGACAATCGTCCCGGCATCAAGTTACTTATGTCGACGCCCAGACTGAACTTTACGCCGATGACGTTGAGCGCTCGTTCTTGCGCGCAGAACGTTTGAGGCGAGGATACAGACTCGACATGATCCATCCATCACATATGCTGAAGATTCGTTGGTGTGCAGGACACCACATCGGAGAGGACTGGGCTCAGCGAAATGCATGGGAGGCTGGCGACTTCAGTGTCGTGCCATCTGGAGTCCTCCCCTGGTGGTACGGGTGGTTCCCACTACCGATCGACGACAGGTCTCATATCGAGTTACTCAGGGAAGATTCCGACAGAATGGGAATACCTGCTGATCATGGCTCCCTTACGATGCCCCCTCGGTGGTCTTTCCATCAGTCCAAGTATCCCCAGCCTGAATTGAAATATCATGGCGTTTCGATCAGAGGAATGCACTATGACCCTCCGGCGCGACCTGTCCAAGCTGATGTTGATATTCGGGGTGCTGCTCTCTCCCACAAACCGGAATCCTTCGCGTCTGGGTCTAGCAATGATCCACTCAAGACGCCAATTCCGTCCTATTGGCCATCAATTGCAGCGCATAGCTTCATAATTCCTGGGGCTGGCAATCGTGGCAATCTGCATGTCCCCATGCCCCCACCAAAAGCTTCGAACATCCAGTCAGCACTTAGTCCTAGTTCCATGTCGACAGGGAGCCTCGCGTCACCTAGTTCTCATGACACAGCTTCCCCGGTTTCTCTCATGCCATCTTCTGGTTCTGCACTCGCAGCCACCCCTGCCAAGAAGAAACTCAGTCTTGGTGATTATCTGATTCGACGTGGCACAATGACGACTACCCCGACTTCGGAATCAGCTCCTGCCCCAGCTCCTGGTCCGCCTCCTGGCGATTCTCGTCTACGCACCCAACATTTTCTGGCCATAACGACGGTATTTGGTGATAATCATCAACCTCCCCGCAAAACCGAACCTGGAGGTGACAAGACCGAACCCTCTGACTCTATGGATATCTCTATGGAGGACGCACCAGAGACAACACCCACCAAAAACCCGTCTATCTCTTCGTAATACGACCATCCGCGTGGTAGTAATGGTGGGCCTGTGATAAAAGGAAAATTCCGCCGTGAATTTAACGTTTCTTACGACCCAAAATTTCTTTTCTCGTGTGATTTCATTCCGATACCTTACAGCAAGGCGGGCACAGGCGTTTGGACTTTCAGCTTTTTCTTTGCTTTTTATCTTCTGTGCCGGCTTCTTATTTTTTTTTCTTTCTTTTTTTTTCCTCCGGCTTGCGGACTCTGGATGGCGTATGGCGTGGGATTGGTTCTTGGTTATGGGAAATACCATTTGGGTCAGGGTCTTTGAGAAGTGTGTCTGTCTGAATTGCAGCACTTGATCTTTCACGATTTGTCCAGTTTAATCTTGGATATGTATGGCCTCTTTTTTTGAGACCGGGCTAGATAGCTTGTATGAACAATGTAACTTTTGCCTGTTTTAATTCCAGCATTGGTTGGTAAAGGAGTATAGATCGATATATCATGGCCTGCCAGATGTATATGCTAACTACACCTTTCTACTCCAATTAGATTCGAGCTTGCTTAATTTGAGTATGCGAGATGATAGGCTGATACACGATGAGTCAATTGCCGCGAGGGGAAATCCTTCAAGCCCCTCGTTTCTTCCTTTCTCTGCTATGCCATCTACAACTTATGTCTAATGCTTGTGCCATTAATCCTAGTGCGAGATGAACAATTCTAATCAAAGCCTCGCGCTGAACGAGATACATCCTCGCAGGTCTACAGAGGTCTCCGAGATCGAGCAACCCACGCTTGCTCAAGCAGATGAAGGCAAAGCCGCATGGCTGATGCTGGCTTCATGCTGCTTCATCCAGATACCAGTCTGGGGTCTGTTGTGACTGAATAAAACCCACATCTAAATACTAACGGCCATCTAGGATTCTCCTCTGTCTTTGGCGTTTTCCAAGAGTACTACTTAACACATGAAGTCCTACAGGGAAACAAGAATGACCTGGCGACTGTTGGAACTACGTCCACTGTATGCAAAGGATAAACGACGACGACATTAGTCGAGTCTAATGCTTTATAGGGGCTTCTTTATCTTCTCTCGCCTGTGACTTTCGCACTTTTGACGAGATACCCGCATTTACAATACTATTGTGCACCCGCGGGCTTGGTCATCACCGTGGTGGGATCTCTGTTATCCTCATTCTCGGTGCAGGTGTGGCATTTGATTCTCACTCAGGGTGTCATGTGTGCCATTGGGAATGGGCTCTTGTTCAGTCCATCCTCCTTGTACCTTGATCAGTGGTTCTTGCGCCGAAAGGGCCTTGCTCTTGGAACTATGTGGGCTGCAAAGAGTATTGTTGGAGTTGCTTTGCCTTTCATCGCTAGTGTCTGCCTAAATAGGTTTGGCTCAAGTACTACGTTAAGGGCTTGGACTGTCGTCACTGTATGAACCACCTCTTTGCTTGAATCGACTGAAGCATAAGTCCCTGTGTCTTGGGTTTATACCAAACCAGCAGGCTATCAATGATATTCACGCTCTCAAGCTACGGCTGACAAAATTCTAGCTGATAACCACCATCATGGCCTTGCCATTCATGAAACCGCGTGTCCCAATATCGCCATCTACTTCAGCCCGCCGCTTAGATCTCAGCTTTCTCAAACAAACAACATTCTGGATGCTGCAAATAGGGAATATCATCCAGAGTTTTGGGTATTTCTTACCAACAACATTCCTCCCTTCTTTTTCGACAAGGACCGTCGGGCTATCCCAGAACACTGGTACGATGCTGGTCTCGTTATTCAACGCAACAGCTGTCATTGGTGGGATAGCCCTGGGAGTACTTTGTGACCGATTCTCTGTCACAAACATCATGCTGCTATCCTCAGTTGGCTCAGCGTTATCAGTGCTTCTATTCTGGGGTATGGTATCATCGTCAAGCTCGGAATCGTCACAGACAGCCATTGCCCTTCTCACTATCTTCTCCATCACGTATGGCTTCTTTGCCGGTGGGTTCAGCTCCACCTGGTCTGGAGTCATCACTCAGATTAAGCGTGACTCCTCGTCGCCATCCCTCGACACTGGACTTATCTTTGGTCTTCTTGCTGGTGGACGAGGGATTGGGAATGTGATCAGTGGACCCCTGAGTACGGTGCTGCTTCAGTCGGGGTCTTTAGGGGATTCGAGTGATCTACGCGGCAATACGGGCTATGAAACACAGTATGGAACGTTGATACTTTTCACTGGTATCACGGCCTTTCTCGGTGCATGGAGCTGGATATGGCGGTATATCAGCCCGGCACTGCGGTGTCTCTATTGATTGTCCGGAACAGCCCTGGAGTATATGAGCAGAAAATAGGCAGTGATGGGTTGATTGGTGCATAGTTAAGGAAGAGATGACGAAGACAAAGTGTGGTGAATAGAATCAAATGGCAGATATTTCTTTATGAGAATGTTTTATTTAGATCATTCTTTTTTTGAAGTATGTAAAAAGTCAGACTTGAAATGGATTGGTGATACCGTGTCACGTGCATTCTGCGGAGCTTCGACTCCAAATGCGCGTTCTTCAATCCCAGCCCCGGCATCTTTCTTACATAAAACTGCTGCAACCAAGGGCCACTGCCCTATCTACAACAATGGCAACCGATGCCGCACTCCAAGATCCTCTCCTGTCACTCCGACGTGCGATTGCCTCTGGCAACCTCCCAACACCGACGACCTCGTCTGAGCTCTCCGATCAATCTGCCACAGACGACCTGGCCAAAGCCACACATCTCTACTTCGCCCAACCAACTCCTCGGACAATCGCTTTGTCAACCCTCACACGATTCATCTCGGCATCTACCAAATCCCCTGTTGACTTGCGCAGTATCCTTTTTGCCTGGCAGAACAAAGATGTCGCCATTCCAGAGTACATCGCCAAGGCGCAGGAATTCAACGAAGCGCTGAAGCAGCAGACGAAAGAGGGTGAGAAGGAAGAAAGTGTCCAGATTCTTATTTTCCTCGAACGCCTTGACCTTTTCACCTGGCTAGAGGGTGCCTCCGACGACAGCGAACATATCAAACCCCTCGAGGGTGCTGCTGCCGCTGCTGAAGCCGCCGCCTCGGCTGCAGGTGTTACGCAGGCTGGTAATGCCGCCGGAATTGCCGCCGGTTCAATTGGCGGCGTCACCTCCGTCCCCAGTGGAGCTGCAGGAGCAGCCCAGCCTGGAACTCAACTTGGCCGCCCACAAAAGCAGATTGACCCTCGACTACAGGAGATTTACAACGGGGAGCGCAAAACCGGCGACCGCAATACAGTGCTGCGTGGAATCAAGCCCACAGTGAGTTGCTCTAGACGCGATACGCTAGACCCAAGCTAACTTCAATCCCCAAGGACTTCTCACACGTTCGCAAGAGCGCCGAGTTATTCCTCGACCGTAACCGCAGTCGACCAGGCCAGCCAAGCGCTAAACCAGGCAGCAAGGGCTCCATCCCGGCCCCGTCAGCCGGTCTCTCAATGGTGCCATCGCGCAAGTCTAGCTCCTCCCACTCCCGCCCCGACCCAATCATCCTAATCTCACCCTCCGCTTCATCCCTCATCCGTATGTCGAATGTTAAATCCTTCCTCGAAGAAGGCATTTTCGTACCACCGGACCACCCAACCCTCTCAAGCGCCACAGACGCCAATCTCGTGAAGCTAGAGCGACCTCTCCGCCTCAACGGCGACGCCTCGAACCCCAGCGCGAGCTCAAGCTCCCGCGCGGGCGGAAAACCAACACGTCCGACCAAGTTCATCGTCGTTGATGGCACAACCAATTTCAAACCAGAGTACTGGAACCGACTCGTCGCTGTCTTCACTACCGGCCAGACCTGGCAGTTCAAGTCGTACAAGTGGTCTTCGCCGCCGGAGCTATTCAAACACGCTACCGGTGTGTATATCGGGTGGCGTGGTGAGGACGTCCCCGCCCAGGTTAAGGGCTGGGGTCGTGGTGTTGAGACTTTTGCTGTTGAGCGTTGGGATGAGAAGAATGGTGTTCATGGCGGTGGGCGCTGGCGGGATCGCGAGGTTGTTGAGGGTATTTGGACTGCTATTGAGGAGGGTATGAGACTTCGTGGATGGGGAACTAAGTAGACTTTTTCTTTTTATTTTGGTCTGTCTTGGTTCTCTTTCTCGATTTCCTGACATCTTCATCTTGTTCTCTCAATACCCTCAATTTTCCAAGAATATGATGACCATCGGCATTCAAGGCGCAGTTCTAGGCGTTGTGGTTGTCTTTCTTTTTGTTCTTATAATGTTCTATGTATGTATGGCTGATCTGGCCACAAAGAATCCATCTGAGATTTCAGTCTGTAACTAGGACTTATGCATGTCACAGTCGAGTATTGTTCAGGTTGTGTTATAGTCGGGGAGGACTTGGCAAACAAACTACTCGTACTTGTAGGAGTTGGGAGTGCTGTACGGTGTCGGTTGACATGTCTGAACATGTAGACCTTGTAAAAGCAGCGAGCCCATCTAGAGGGGATGAATCCTGCTATAGAAGGGCCCCGATTAGACACAGTTTAAATGGGGTAATACCCAATAATGGTCATACTTTCAGGCGTTGAAGTTGTGCATACCATAAACGCACCCATTGATAGGCTTTAAACAGGTCCCTGACATAGTCTGCCCTTGGTGGTCTTGTCAGATATTCTGTTTGGATATCTTTTAAGATATTCACTATAGTAGCGTTATAGCTTTATACAACATAGGTAGACGGGAGAAAGAAGAGGCTTCGTGAAAACGACCTTTCCAGGATATTTCCGCTGTTGACCGGCACTGTGGCTGGGATATAATCCGTAGCAAGGACATTCTAAAGGGGCTGAATACTCCTTGTCTAAAACACAGCATCTGCATAAACTTCAAAGACCATTTACTCGAAAGATATGAGAATATAAGATCATGTCCATTGCAAATTGCAATAGAAGAATAGTATGACATACACAAGCAGACCAGAACTCACTCGCTGTGCCCGGGTAAAACGATGCAGGAACTTAAGGAAAACAACGACTCACGGGAAATGAAA